GCAAATGGTTGAGCCTAACAACAAGAAAAAATCCCCAATAGGGCCATTTAGACCCCAGCTGCAGCTGTGCTTAACTGTATTTCATACTGGAAAGCTGAGATTAACAGGAAAATCAGACTCTGCCATGGTGTGCAGATGTGGCTACAACTGTCTTAGTTTATTCAGCAAACATTTGTTCAGGGCCTACTGTATGCCAAACAGTCCGCTGGCCACTGCGATTAGAGGGATAAATTGTACCTGGCACAGTTGAGGACCTTGCAGTTGATGGGAAAAGGCAGATGTGACAGAGAGTGTTCTGAGAGATGAAGGTGTGTGCTCGGGCATAGGGGAGTGGAGGGAAGTCTTACTGACCACAGCTTCACAGGCTATTCTGATGTGAGTGGATAGGCATTGTGGACCACGGTGACAGGAGCTGACAGGGAGGGTGTAAGGGAGACATACTGAGGCACAGGACCTTTGAGTTTGATATAAACGGGTCCAGACTGTAACATGAGAAAAGGAGCCAGTTAGAAAAGGGATGCTTTCTGTCAGAATACTGACAAAAGATGCATGTGTGGAGACCTCAGGAATCATACTGACAGGACAGACGCTTAGTGGTCCTTTGGTTGCCAGGTACAGGTTCCGTGAGACTTCACGCAGAGTGTCACCACCGCATTGTTGGTACCAACAGCAGTCACAAAGATCATGTGTGATGCCGTTCTGCTAAATGCTTTTCAGTCCCCACATAATTTAACAGTGACAACCTTGTCTCGATAAGGAACTGTTTTGTTTGTTTGTTTGTTTTTCACTTGACAGATGAAACTTTGGTCTGGAAGTTCACTTGCAAACTCTCCGGGCCAGCATTTGAACTCAAATCTAAGTGATGACACAACTAAGATTCTTACTGATCCTCACTTCACCTGCTTCCTAGATTTTATAGATTATGTTCCTTCAGGAACACCTAGGCTGATGCCTACATCTCTTGTGTGTGCTTTAGGCTTGGTGTGTCTCAGTGATAGAAGGAAAACTTCTATCAGCCAGAAGTTAGGTTTGCCAAGAGGTGCACCCTGACAGAGTGTTCTGTATTATCATTGTAATTTAATAAAATGCTTACCTCTCAAAGCATTTGTGTCTTGAGGAAGTGTGAGAAGCAGTCATAGGAGAATATTTTAGGAAGATTGAGACAAGAGGTCCACCAAGTTAGGTGAGAGAACATGTAAAGGATAACACAACAAAATCTAGAGGAATTTTACATCTTTCTTCCCATGCAGAAGTAAGCTTCATTCTCTTTGAGGACACTGTAATAATTTTTAGTGATTATATATTCTGACTGTGGATTTTGTAAGAAAGCAAACATGAAACACCAGTCACCAGGCCTCTAAAACCAGGTGACGATTTGTCACTGTACTGAACACGTCTAATACTTAAGAGAAAATAAATGGTATATTAGATTTTCAGTGATCCCTCTTTTATAATCTCCCACTGCTGCTCCTGCTTCCCTGCCCTGTCCTTCCAAAGGGGCCTTCTTTGTGTGTGTGTGTGTGTGTGTGTGTGTGTGTGTGTGTGTGTGTGCGTGCGTGCGTGCGTGCACGCGCACGCATGCGCTCAGGATGAGCACACTATGGGCAAAACAAAGACAAGAACTTTGGGTTCCAGCAGACACACGTGCATGACTTCAAAATAAGTTGACTGATAATCAAGGCTGTGGATGGTAGATTTCAACACAGCAGGGTCATACAAAAACGTTTACATTAGAGGAAAGTTTGGTGATGGCATAGCCCAGAAGAAAGATTGTGGGTTCCATGGGTTTGTTGAGTAATAATTTCAACAACTTAACTAATGTCCAGCAGGTGAAATCTGTGAGTCTGTTTCCCCGCATTAAGACGGTATATTCAGACACATGTCATCTAGCTGTTGAGGGCATATTGCTGGGCAAACATGAAGTTTCTAAGGTAGGATTCTTTACTCCCCTACCTTTTAATGGGACCATTAAAAAGAAAAGATATTAGTGAACAGGGTAAACAGAACACAGAAAGGGATGTTCACTGTTTGTCTGTTTTTACCCTGAGAACTGTCCTTGCCACATCTGAACTAGATTACAGATGAAGAATGTCAAGAATCCAGTTGTTTTAAAGATTTTAAATTTGGTCAGTAGGAAGGAAGCTGGCTACTAGGGAGATAGGTGCAGACTGCAAGTTTTTGTGGAACTTTTGGCGGGGGGGGGGGGTTGCGGGGGGCAGAGGCATTGCATGACAGTGTCCATCTTTCTGTACAAATAGCGGATTTGACCTTACTTTGAGGTTTACAACATGTTACTAACCTTTTGTTCCATATCATTTATTTTATTTGCAGGGTAACCATAAAAATAATTAAGATTTTCAATAAAGATAAAGGAGTCAGGAGATCTATTACTCTTCATCTACTAAACATAGCTTTCCCAATCCAGATGTTTATAGTATTCTCAAGCAGCTGCATCCTTTATTCAAAGCTCCTGACAGTAGGATTTTCAAATGGTTGGTGATAGAGAATGATTTCACAGAATTCTGCAAGGCCCACATTCTTCAGGACTTAAATAAGACTCAAGGCAGTAAAGGGGACTCAAGACAGTGGAAGACTTTATCTTCAGGATGCTTATAATCTGATTGGAAGGAGAAGTACTAATAAATGCAAAAATGAAAGGAGTTACAATTTCAGCAGTGTTGGAGAGAATGGAAACGGGGAAAAGAAAAGAATCTAGAATTCCTAACAACATATATTTGAAGAGGTAATTATGATAAAGTGTGTTGTGGACAAGGCCAGAACTATTGCTAGATGTAAGAATTGCTTACACCTTTGATTCTGATTAAAAGATTCTTCAGGAATGCTACCTGAACTAGCAGCTACCTAAAACCAACGAGCTACATTGTTCAGCTGTGATCTACTAGCAGGGTCAAAGATACTTGAATGGTACTTCAAGTTGACCCAAGAATGTCTTTTCTTGTGACATCATAACATGGCACTGTAGTCTACAAAGTTCATGATCAAGAAACATGAAATTAAATAAAAAGAAAATTAAGGAGAATCTCAAAAGAAAATTCATGATAGTTTAAGATTATGATTTTGCATTGGCCGCTTATATAGTTGTCCTGAGGCTCATATAGCATGTGACCTGGGCAGATGAGCACAGGTTAGACATGCCTTTCAGACTGGTGTCTAAAGAATCCTAGATTTATAGGTGCTAATCTACCATTTTTGTTCAGAATGAATGATTCACTAATACCAACTTCTTTTCCTTCCAGTCAAGATGTCTTTAATTTTACTTGAATGAGAAAGGGAGAGAGGGGGATCCAACTTTCCTGTGGCCAGTTTGAAAGTGACTGTTCTACCTTATTTCTGTAGACAAATGCCATGAGGTTGTAGTCTCCCTGCTAATAGTCCCTGTGTGAGGAAGAACAGTCCACCAGGTGCCTAGGCAGTGTGCCAACAGGTTTCTTAGGAGACACTGTTCAGTCTCTCCTGTAGAGCTAGGGACATGCTGAGGCACTAGGAAAGAAATCCACGCATAGCCATAGAGTTTAGAGAGAAAGAAATTTCTATGGTTGGCAAAATGCAAATTGTTTTGATTTGGAAAAGAAGGGCCTTAAGGCAATTGAATGCTAGCCTTCTAGACTAGGAAGGACCACTTGGAGACAGGTGACCAGATTTCCTTCACTGCCAAGCACAGTCTCCCACAGTGGCAGGGTAAGTACATAGAGGGAAAGCAGTGCTCAGAGCCCAGGCTGCTTAATCAAAGGAGTCCATCACTCCATTGTTTGCGAAGGCTTGCTTGAAGGCAATATGAGTCTGTATCTGCACGTTATGTGTTGAAGGAGCAGGGGTGAATTAAATGAACTTGGTCTTTTTAACTCACAGACTCAGTGATTTATCCTTAAATTACATAAGGTAAAGATGTCAGGCAATTATTTTGAATTATAGCCTCATACCCTGGTGCTGCCAAGAGAAGTTACTTTCCAATAATGTTGAGGAAGTCAGTGACAAAGACACACATTTATTTCAGAGGTCATGAACTCAAATACCTACAGGGTCCTGCTGGCCTTGGACAGGAGCAAGCTAACAGCAGCACACCAGTTAACAAAGTATTGTGAACTAGAAAGTGCATGGTCCATCTGCGCTGCCCACTACAGCAGACATGGTCTTATAATGGGCACAGATCTTTGGCTCTCCACAAAAAAGCTTAAAATCTAAAAACTTAGGTGTTTTTTTTCCAGACTGACACAGGAGAGTTTCGTTGGCGTCCTCTGCAGGTATAATGCAGCGCTTGTGTTGTTAGAAACCCTGGGCTTGTCCTTAACCAGCTCATGCCTCTGTAATTAACAAACAAAACACAGCTGATTGAACTTCAGAGTGACAGGTTTGCTAAGGTTCCAGAGGCTTCATTATGGCTTTGCTGGCTCTTTAAATCTTGACCTCTGTCTGATTCCTTCCTCCTTGCTCCTGATAGACGACTTATTTACACGGGAAGTAGGAATTTTAGAACAATACTTGTTTCCTAGGCATTAAGATAGTTCAGTAGATAAAGGTTTCTGCCACGAAGCCTGATGACCTGAGTTCAATCCCTGGAGCCACATGATGGAAGGAGAGAACGGACTCCCGCAAATCCCTCTGGGACCTCTGCGTATGTGTCGTGGCCTGTGTCTGCCCCCACACATCTACACACACATAAATAAATGTAATACATAAATTATTTATTTCCTTTAGCAACGTGACCTTATCTAGTAAAGCTGTCAATTACTCCGAGTGAGAGGCAACTCTCACTGCTGCCGCTGCTCACCGTTAAATGCACATGTCTTTGTGGTCTGCACTTGGTAATTTGGATTTCTGCACTAACATTTGTGTATAACATCGGGTGCATGAGGCATGCTCGACTTAAACATTAACATTCTCCCCATTTGGTGCCACGCTTTTCTCTTATACATACTGTTTTAATAACACCTCCACGTAGGATAAGGACAGTTGTATTTCTGAAATTCCCTCCCTTTCAGACTGGAGAATATGCCACTGATGAGGAAGAGGATGAGGTTGGGCCCATTCTTCCCGGTGGTGACATGGCCATTGAAGTCTTTGAGCTCCCTGAGAATGAGGACATGTTTTCCCCATCTGACCTGGACACCAGCAAGCTCAGTCACAAGTTCAAAGAGGTGAGCCCTGGCCTTTAGAAGGCTTGCCTGTGCCTGCTCCTTTCATTGTCAAATATCTTTTTATTTATGGACGAACTAAGAATCATCAGTTTTCTGATTGAAGCATTTCAACATTATCTGAGTCTTAAATTTAACCAATTATATTGTATTCTACTGTCACCAATTTTAGTATTTGTCACTTGTCACAGTAGCAGTTTTATAACATAGTGCATCGTTTCAGGATACATTCATATTATGTGTATACTTTTTACTTTACAGATGCTCTGGTACCTGATTGTGACCTCTTTCCTCTAGGGCAGTTATTTCTCTAAAAAGTTGTTTTTCTTTGTTTTCCTGAAGTAATTAGATTTCTGATAAGAATGACATGCCCAAAGGGTGCTGTTGAAGAGTTCAATGAGCAGACATTGAACAGTTAATAGAGCTACCAAGGAGTGGTGACAGCAGGAAGCCATCACGCTCCCTTGTCCTAAAGAAGCCATTCCATACCTACAGATTTGCAAGATGCACCCCTGCTGAAAATTGCATCTAGTGTAAGGGTGATGGATTCCCTATCCTTCTATGCTGTCATCCTCCTGCTGAATCCCCAGATACACCCAGGCAAGTGAGTCTAGGCTATGCTAGCCTTGCAACTGAAGAACTCAGTTTTCTGAAGCACGGCGCTGTCCAAAGAAGACCTAGATAGATCCTTGGCATACACATAGAGAACCAGGTAGATGTTTTTCCCCTCCAAGTCTGATGTTACAGGATTCTCCTAATGACCCGTTTTGCTGCTTTGAAAAAGCCCCAAGCGCCATTACCCAAGTCTTACTTTCAGCCAACTATAAGGTTTCCTGCTTGATTCTGTGATCATGATTCTTGGACAGACTGTGCCTTCTGTCTTTGCACAGTTCTTGTCAGTTCATTAGCAGCTAAGTACTCACTGAATTATTGGCATCAGGCATGTACTGAGAATTCATTGTATAGTGTACCTGACTTGATTTCTTCACATAATTGACGGCCTGGACAGCATGTTTATTAAGGTTGTTTCCCTCTGGTCAGAAGGCTTTGTTATTTTCCACAGCATTAGCTCCTATGACTGATAGAGTAAAGAAAAACTTTAACTTTCCTTCTTTTTTAATCCTTTTTTTATTTATGCATTGTACGTACCATATGCCTTGATCAGAGCCGCCAGAGCTCATCCCTCCCATTACCCTCAGACAGCACCCAGTACTATAACCCTTTCCTTCCGTCCGATGAAAGCCAGAGAGTCCAGTTAGTGCTAGCTGCTGGAGTATTGACTGACCTTGCCTTGATTGTGAGAAAGTAACCTTAGCTGTGGTAGGTTCATGAGTGCAGTGGCCATGTCATTTCCAAGTGACAGCATTTACAGTGTTCCTCTGGCTCTTACAGTATCCCCCTTACTCCTCAGTGTTCCCTGAGACTTGTATGTGAGGGGGCTACAAATGTTTCATTTAGGGCTGAGCATCCACAAGTTTTTTTTCTCGTCCTGGGGAGTCAAACTTAGGGCCATTGAGTATCAGTCAAGTGCTCTGTCACTGAGCTATATGTTTCTAGCCCAGCTTTTCTTTCTTTAAAACGACTTTACTCTCAGCTTATCCAAGGAAGCACTGGAGTCATTTTGTTAGTTCCCTCTTAAGTTATTTTTATTGAAATCAAATTATTAAGTTGATTTGTGGGAACATGACATCTTTCTCATACTTCTGGTCTTTTCATCAAATTTTATAACTGTATGTACTTTAAGTGTTTTCTCTGAGCGCTCAAAAGTTGTATATACCCTTTATTGTTGCATAAATGTCCAGACATAAACAATGAAAGACATGACTGAAATAACTAAAAGCTGTTATAAGATTATGTTAGCCTCAGGCTGAGTTAGAGAATCTTCCTCAGTTTTCAAATATGACAGTGACTGAAGTGGCTTTATGAATTCTGAATATAGGAATTTCTGGTCCTGAAATTCTGTCATTACTGAGTTTTCTGCAGGTTTTGGAGAAAGCTTTTTATTCATTTGAAATTTCTTATTCTGTGATAATTTCGTATGTGTATATAATGCATTTTGGTCACTTCTATTGCCCCTCACTCTGATTTTCTGAATACTCGTCCAACCTCCTTTATTCCTTACAAATATCTTTCCCATACCCACTAATTTGGTTTTGTTTTGTGTCCCATGGGATTTAACTAAGCCCTGTGGCTCTCCTTTAGAACTAACCCTCACTCACCAGCATGTCTATAGCTAGATGCTCTGGCTCCCCCTCCCAGAATCTGTTCGCTGCCAGTAGATCAGCGTTAAGCAGTAGGGCCGGTTAGCCCCTCTCCTTCTATACTGACTGTGCTGACCTATCCGTTTCCAGAAGACATCTACATTACAGTCTAACTGCCCTTTATCCATCCCTATACCCTGTCACTTCTGGTTTTATATATTTTAAATTCCTTTCTAGCTGCACATACAGTGAGGGTTGTTACAGCATCTTGATTTCTTGTAATATTATCCTGTTCTTACATGATACACCTTAACCCAGTTCTGTTTTGGTTAAGAGTGAAACTTAGCACTGGGTTTCTTTTGCCTTGTCTTTCATTCATAGCATCTGAATTTCTATTTATTTTTATCCATTTCATATCCCTTTATTCAAATGTGTTTCCTTTCAATAGCCTATTTCTGTATCTTACTCTTAACACATTACGAGAGTCTTTATGTCACTTAATTAATATGCACAGTCCATTCATGTTTACTTTAATCACCTTAATATAGAAATTTCACCCTCTTGACTTACTGTGTTATGTTTTCCATATTTTCTTGTTTCTTTTTATTTTTCTACCTGTCATCATAAATATCAAATTTTCTTCCGTTGCATAAAAGATAAGTTTTTGTTTTATTTTCCCAATAGTTTGCCTCAATTTTCAGTTGTTTTTGCTATCAGTATAATATAGAAAGCAGATTAGTATCTTTGCTATCATTAGTAAAACGATGGCTATCCCTGTGAGCTTTTCTGTTGCCATCCATCTTTTGTGTTTCAGGAGCCTTAGCTAGGTATGATGACAGCGTTCCTGTTACAATGAGATGGTTTCCGGTGCACCCCGCCACCCCCCCCCCAGCCCCTTAGTTTGCAGAGACCTCAGTGCTGCTGTGAGCTCATTTACTCCCTTCTCTAAGGCTTCCTTTCTACCATCAGTGCCAAAGGTTCCTGTCACCTGGGCCCAAATTTAAATTAGCAGTCAGGAGGTCACAGCTTCAGGGTATGGAGCAGGCTGGCCTGATTTACCACCAGGTGTACACTGCAGGGTTGTGTGGAAAAGGTGAGGATCAGTTAAATTACTGTCTCCTTCCTGACTGCTGGCATTCCTCAGCCCCAGCATTCACCTCTGCAACATCACAACTCCAGTGTCTTCTGTTCTCAAGAATTTGTTCACAAGCGCTCTCTCTCTCCCTCCCTCCCTCCCTCCCTCCCTCCCTCCCTCCCTCCCTCCCTCCCTCCCTCCCTCCCTCCCTCCCTCTCTCTCTCTCTCTCTCTCTCTCTCTCTCTCTCTCTCTCTTCCTGCCTCTCTCTCTCTCTCTTAAAATTAATGAATGGTGGCCTGAAGCACATTTGTGTCCTTTTCTCTTTAGGGAGATGTAAATTGCTTTCAAGAGAGAAAGGATATGGCTTTGTTAGTTTGCTGTGTTGAACTCAACTGAAAGCTTTCCCCTACCAATTCAGCCATGTCTGCCTCTATTTATTTCCTTTATTAATACTATGGTCTACTTTCCTGGGGCATGTTTGCTTGTTCATATGCCAGCTTCTTACAGATTGTGCTTAGTTTGTTGTCATACTTACTGTTGAAAACGGAATCTGTCTGGTGCTTTGCCTCTGCCTGTCTCCTACTCTGTTAACATTCCCTGACTTCACTTTGGAACCAATCTGTGTTTTTTACTTTCCCTGTTTTAGTTTCAATTTAACTTTAATAACTGGAGAAATGATTTTGAATCTGTAACTTTTTAATTAATCTAGCATTTTATTACATTGTGGTCAAATATTTTTTCAACCAACTTGTTTGAAAAATAAAGCTTTTATTGTAGACTAATATGGGTATTTGTGATTAAATTGATACATTTGAAGTGCTCTGAATGCTTATTCATTTTTCTTGAACCTAATAAGAGGATTTATAGTTAATTATACCTCCATATCATTTTTGTCTACTTTGATATTATATTGGAAGCATATGAAACATAACAATGATTTCCTTTTGCATTTAGGTTATACTTTGATGTTAACATTTGACAGCATCTTTCGTTGTAGTATTAAGTGTGTGCCTACATCTAACAAAGTCAGTTACAGCATTTTCTTTTATTGGAATTTAAAAAATATACAATGTTAGAGTCTGTGTCTTTTACTAAGAAAATTCTGTCAGTTTGAACTTATTGTAATAGTTACTCAAGGTATTTGTTACTATTCTTAACTCATTTTATGCTTTGTGTTTCCTTTATATTTGTTGGCTGTTACTACAGGTTATCTTCAAGGCTTTAACATATATTCTCTTTACATAATTTTAAGAACTAAAAACAAAAATACCATTTGCATTCTCTGTATGAACATGCTTGATACAAATGTTAAGTTTTAAGAAAAGTGAATATTATGCTCTTCTGTTTTTCCTTTAAAAGTATTATTTCCTAATTCTTTGGTTTTTAACTTTTAATTTCTCAGAGAGTGTTTCTCTGAGTAAATTATTAGGTGTCTATGGTGGGTATAGTTTTTGTGAGCTTTATGTTCTAATTATTGTGACACCATGATAATTGACTAGGCTTGACATCTTATTATTATTTTAATGAAAATGTTGTATGGTCAACTTCATTGCTTTAAGCACATTTTCAAAGAAAAATTCTAATATCAGTCTGGATTTGAGTGCTTCTCTTCTCTTCAGGCTGGAGTTTAGTTTTCGCCACAATTTCTTAAAAGTAGGCTTCCTAGCATATCTGTCTCTCTCTCTCTCTCTCTCTCTCTCTCTCTCTCTCTCTCTCTGTGTCTCTC